TTTGGTAAATATTTATGCTTCTTAATCACCTAATTAATATAATTAATTAATACTGATATCTCAAGTATTGATCATCACATTTGAATAAAACTTGGTACATAAGTGCTCTAGGACAATAGACAGCCTGATTAATTTTGGGTTAAAATCTGTTCATATTAATTCTCTAATTAGCATAATAATTAATATTATTTTGGTTCTAATCACATTTCAATGAAACTTGTTACATTGTGCAGACCTTATTAGTTTTACATTTAAATCTGTTCATATTAGTTACCTAATTTGCATAATTAGTTTTCTGCGTTTCCATCAACATCTCAAGTTCAAGTAATTTTTAATTAATTTTGAATGTGTCTCCAATACTCTCAGCACACGGGAGTTCTTTCTAAGCTTTCTTTGATCTGTGTTGTTTATAAAATGTGTGTGTGGAGAAAGACGTTGCTTGGTCGCCATTTTGAATTTATAATGAAGTCATTAGCGACATCTTAAATTAGTTCTCTCGCTGAATTCGCTAAAAAGACAAGCTCGCGAAAAAGACATGTTTTACAGTATTCTCTTTAAAAAGCATAATCTAGGTGATACAAGCTGAAAGCTTCATTGAGCATGTCAATATACTGATATAGGTACATGTAATTTGACTCAAATTCCAAATATTGTCGCTATTGTGCTGTTAGCTGTAAAACAAATGTTATTGTTTTTTCAGATTTTCTATTTTACTACGTGAAAAAATTTATGTATATGAAAATGAAACAAAATAGAGTATGTTGTTTAACTATCAAATTAAGGTGAAATACCTTTATATTCATGTACACATATCGTCATGACAATGATTAAATCTGTGGATATCAGTTTCATTCTCCTGCCCTCTAGAGTTTAGTTATTGTAATTTTTTTGTTTTTACTTATTTATCATTGAGGGGTGATCTCATATTCAAACATGCGGGTCAAACCTACAAAAAGCTAAACCGCCCGAACAAAACCAAGTTTTGCGGTTTGGAAGTTTAAACAATAGACAGTGTGGTTCAGGACGGCCGCACGAATTTGCATAAAAACTGCGGTTCAAACTGATCTCTAAAATGTGTCGATTTATTGGTGTACAGTAGTCATTTTACTGTGTGTCTTGCCTAAAAAAAAACACTCTTTCATACATCGGTGAACAGCGTGCTGAATAAATTGTTTTGTTTTGATAAACTGTTATGCTCGAGTCGCAAATTGAGCAGAGGACGTGAATCAGACTTTTCATTGGGCTGGACAATTGATATGTGTCTCTGACAGCTAATAAGTATCAGAATACGAACATTTGTTGATACAAAGTTGCACTTGAGACTTACGCTACTGTGTTCAAGCCTTTACTACTGTTGCGCGTTCAATTTTCAAACAGTTCTTTCAGGGATGCGGCATTGCAAAATCCGGAAAAACAAATGCAGCGTACGCCATGAAAATTTATTTTGATTTGCTGCACATCGGTTATTTGCATTTTTTCTTATTCAGTTGCCAGTGACACGAAGTATCAAAACAGAAAATTATATTAAATGGACTCGCGCTGATTATTTATAAAAAACGAACCCTGACCTCTGAAATTACCTTATTCATTCAGTGCCTTGTACCTAAGGCCGTCGCCCAAGGCGACACAGTGCATGTTGCGATATCGCAATCGATGCATGCTGGGTGACAAGGAGAAATTCTGATTGAGGTATCTGAAGATGGCTGCGTTGAGTGCATGATTTTCTGCGGTGTTTAAAACAACACCTTGCTGCCTACTTCGCCCACAGTCCCTCAAGGCACTGTGCTTCGATGTATTTTCTAAAATAATCGTTTATTTTTAATTAACCGGGGGTTTGAAATGTGTGCATTTTGTCACAGAAAAGTAAGATATCGGCAGCGGTAAATACCCGTAATTTCCTCGCAATGCCGTCAGCTGACAATGTTACGGTGGTTGTAGCGCCGGAGTCGTAGCATTAGCCCCAACTTTAGTTTTGACACAGTGATAGAGGGACTGTGGTTTTCAGATGCCTTCGTAGAAAACAATGTTGCCATTGTCGATTTAATACTTTCATCATATTTTGATAACTCGCAGTCTCACAAACTTAACCAAAAAAATTGTTCTATGAATTTATGAACTGACATTGGTACAAAACTGACCGTACTTGTTGCGGACAAAATGTACCAGTTCGCTCCATGGATAAACATATTTTACTGACTATGCCAAATATATATATAACGTAAGTAATTTATCCTAAGAAGCTGCTCATTAAAATTCTAGTGCATTTTTCCCCTGTTCTGTTTCAAACATTAATTTACCATATATATCACAATAGAGAGGGTTTATGGTTATCACTTGATTCACATTTAAGTACAAAATATAACAAACCATCACATCTGTAATTAGTTCCAGATAAATTGAATAACACTTATAAATGACATGATGTAAATAGATTTGTGAAACAAATGCAAGTTTGTTTTTTATTAGCATTTACATGTACAAGACTTGCAAAGAAAAAAAATCGCTGCTGGAATTCTTAACACTTCGAAATATAACACTCAGTATAAACATGGAGCTCCATAGTATACATCTTATTTTTTTTCCTACTGAAACCAGGCTGAAACAGTATTGTAAGTAAAACCTAGGTCTATCTTCTTTGTTCTCTGTTGTTTGTTTTCAGTGGGGGTGTTAATGGGCAGTTAATCTGGAGGTTAGGTTCAAACCTACTACTAATTTGCATATTGTAGGCCTAGTAGGTCTGAATAGGGCAGGTCTTGTTAACCCAGGTTTGACCCAGGTGTTTGAATATGAGATCACCCCTTATTTGTTTAAATGAGTACCTGTGTCAAACAGCGCCCTCTATTGGTTACTTACACACAGTTGAAATAAGTGTTTTATTAAAATAAATTTGGGTAGTGCTCCCATGACTTATTTTGTTGAATCAGAGTTTAAGACAAGTTACGTTAAATTTTTGTGTGTTTTTTGTTTTGAAAGGAGATATTTTTGACTACATGTGATTTAGTATTTTTTGAATTATTTTTTTTTTAGTTTTTTCCTTTTTCAAATTATGTATGATATTCATAGAACAAAATCTCACTTTAAAAAACAAAAGACTGACTTGATTTTAATTTGTTTTAGTGTGTATGGGTGCCCGTTGGCTGCTAAGAAACGAAAAATCCCGCAAGACTTCAATGAACCACCTCGTAAACTGAAACGGTTACCAAAGAAACCAGGTCAATGCACTGAAGATGAGGACAGTTTGGCTGAGGTTTTGAACGGAAGTGATGCAGAAGAGATAAACTCTACCAGTGATGTGTCGTCACTGCCAGATGAGGACGTACAGGTAAAGTGTAGCCGACGAGCGATCGTGAATCTCCAGAAGCTCATTGACAATGTTACGGCCGAAATTGACCAAACTAAGCAGGCTGAAACTGGTGACCAGGACGAGGAGAACAGTGACAGCAAAGAGGATGACAGCGAGGAGTCTGAAGACGCAGAAATGGAAGGATGCGATCCGCCAACCCTGCATAAGGAATTAGCCTTTCTCAATCAGGAGACAGAACTCTTAGAGGAGGAAGAAGCGCCCTCATTGGATGTTGCTATGAAAAATGAAAACTGTCAGGTCAAAGCTCAAGCTACACAAAATGATAACAAGGAAAACATAGAGGAAGAACAAGATGACAAGAAAGACGATAAAGATGAAATAGAAGATTCCGAGATTCTTGGAGATGACGAACCAAAACTAGTTATTGATGAAAATCTTGAGGAGGAAGATACCAAAGAAGACTTAGTTGGGGAATGTGTTGGGGAGGAAAATGGAGCAGATACAGTTGCCAAGACGGAAAATATTGTCGTGAAAGAGAAGATGGGGGTTGACGTGCTCAAAGAATTGGCAGAGCAGACATCTGAACAAACTTCTGAAGAAACCATAGCGACTCTCATCAAAGAAGAACCTGCTAGTTGCCATGATGGTGACAGTGACAAGGATGCTGAGAAAGAGAACCAGTGTGAAACTGGTAGTAGTGAGGACGATGAGACTGCAGAGGTTGCCGTAGCAGCACTGGAGCAACTGAAAGAAAATATTGTATGCTTGAATGAGGGTGTTATACCAACTGTTGATACCACTACAGTTACAAGTTCCACCATGGATACGCAAACCACCACGGTCGCCACGACAAATTTAATCGCTGCTGTTAAAGTGGAAGCTGATGATCCTGATGTGATTGCGTCGATAATAAATGAAGTGAAACAGACGCCTTTACAAGTACTGTCAAGTACCTCTGCTGCAGCCACCAGTCTGATTAACGGTACTTTCACTACTCTTAATAAGCCAGTCAGTTTGTCATCTCTGGTTAACTCTTCAATCGGTTCATCTATAACATCAACCCATTCAGTGACCAACATCAATAATAACAACACTACTTTCACAAAACCAGGTAAGCCAATATTATTCCATACACCAACTTCTTTCGAAATTATCTTTTTTCATTATTTATTTCAGCGAGAAGAATTGATTTATTTCTTTATATTTTGTTATGCAAATTTAGCAGAAAGATATTGTTTAGTTGCTTCAGCATTCAATTACGTGTTATTCAATTCATGGTGTTTCCTGATTGGTCGGTTATTTGGGTGTTAAAATTGGCGTGCCAATCAGAGACAGGTAGACCCTTTTTTGGAATTCAATCCAGGGAATGATTTGACCATGTGACCGATCAATCATGGGTTCGCCATAACAACCACTATACTACAGTCAATGCAAAACTACTTTCAAGATTGTGTCTGATTGGCTATTCAATATTAATACCTAACAATCAGACCAATCACAGAGCAGCTTGTTTGTCAAGGAGTTTTTTCAATATATCAGATTCTGTGTCTGTGTTTAGACTCAGATGAGGCAGGGAGAGTTACCCGAAACACGCACATCATTTAGTAACAAGATAACATTATAATTGCCATGGCAACAATCAAATACCATGGTAGTGATATGGCAAGAGCATTGTGGGAACACTTGTAATAGTTAATTTTTCATTGTACAGAACATTATCAACTTTGTTTCATTTATAAAAACAGTGCAGCTATTTTGACTGTCGGGTCCCTTGTGATATTATTAAAATAGAAAAAAAATTATTTTTATATTCTTGAAAATTGTTTTATTTTCAGTATTCACCGCTCTCTGTGAAGTGTGACATTTAAGTCATAAAAGTAGCCTATTATAGTTCATTACAAATAAAACTCTGTTCATAATTTTCACCGTTTGATAAGATTTTATCGCAAAGTTTCCAAAAATCACTGACATTTTTGTTGTAAGACAGCTGAGACTTTTTTACCGTTACATTAAGAAAATTTAGCGATATTCACTGAATCGTGAAATTTGTAAAAATGACTCTTAAATAATTAAAGCTACTTGTAACATAACAGCTTCAGTACGAAATCATAAATTTCCCCTCTGATTGCCAGCTCTCACTAAATATAATTTTTATATGCACGTAACTGTTAATGATGAAGATAAACTTGTTTCCCATACGTCACAAACCAAAAGAAGGAATTAAGTTGTACTGTTCTAAAAAGAAAACTTTTAAAATGATAATGCAAAGTTCACAATGGCGGCTTAATATGTCACTGATGTATCAAGAACCAATCATAACTCTCCTCCTGTTTTAAGAACCAATCATAACTCTCCTCATGTTTTAAGAACCAATCATAACTCTCCTCATGTATTGTACTCATCCCTGACCGACTGTTGACAAGACCCCTTAAGTTGGGCATTATTTACCCTTGAGTGCCTAAGACCATATGTTGTACACCATTTATGCTGTGGTTTAATTACCATACCATAACAATATGCTTGCTGCGGCTGTCTAATTAGGCCGGAAATCTATTGTTTGTTACAAAAGTTTGTGGTTGAGTTCTTTTAATAAAAAGAAAAACATGTTTTTGTAAAAGATGCAAAGGATGATCAGTAATCACCAATGAAATGGTTTGTGCATGATTTGTCATCGGTGTGTTGCACAATAGCCGGTCTTGTTACTGCTGTTACATTGTCACACTTTTTCTCTGATAGAAAAATTAATATTGAATGCGGCAGCGAACCAATAAGTTGAATTTGTTTTTTCATAAATTTTGCATCTCACAACTTTGTTTCTTCAAAAGGGAAAAATATTGTTTGTTTGTTAAAATTTGGTGTGTGGCTGGCTGACGACATAATCCCTCAACTACGATAATTACTACTACTGGTAATTAATTTTAGTCCAAAGCTGATATGTAAATCTAGTCACTGAAAATTTTGCCCAAGCCGATATTTTTTTAATTTACTTTAATATATTATAATTCCTCAGGTTGGGGATTTTTAATTTTTTTTAAAAAAGAAAAAAAAAAAATCAAAACTATATGTGTCGTGTTTTGTTTGTTTTTTTCAAAAAGTTAGGGGAGCATATTGTGCCCACTAGAGTGTGATTGTTTTATTTTTTTTTTAAGAGGGGTTGGATTACTGACAAGCTTAGTTGGTTAGTATTTTAAGTTGATGACATATGAGCATATGGAGATTTAAAACTTATAGTAAGAGAGAGAAAAAAATTGGTCGGATGAGTTGTCAGGCTTGTGCAGGGCTCTATTGTTGCTTGTGTAGCGTGCACCGTATGGCCATATCAATTATCTACCAATTTTAGAGCGGTGGATTGCCGGCTGAAAAAAACAAAAATACGGTCTAACTTTTCTTTCTGTGATTGGCAGTTGCTAAGTTGATAACTAGACATATCGGGTCAGATCGGCGAGTGGTTAGGATGAACTACGTTGCCGTCAAGATGGAGATGGATAACGACTACGGTATTCGTGCGTATAACCGTTTTTTAGCCGCGTGTGATGAATTGGGACTAAATGAATGTGAGCTTTCATTTCTCATAATTTAAAATATTTATTTGTCTAAATTTCTTTTACTGTGCTAAGAACATTTTTTTTTTTTTGGATTGATGTGTATGCTTATAAGACTAAGAATATTGCCTTAACAAATAACTCTTTAAATAAAAAAAATTCTGTTGAGTCAATACCCAAGTTAGTTAGATTAGTATATTATATTATTTATATTGTATATTAGTCTGCACTATTTTAAACCCCGCCAAATATCCTGGCGAAAAGTGGCAGGATATGTACATATATATATGAAAAAAAGACTGACTTTTGTTTTAATGTTAAATATTAAACTGGTACCACCAAAAAAAAGTTTAGAAGGGTTTTTTATACATTTCTACTGAGTGTGATAAATGATAAATCAAGTAGATCGGGGATTATACATAGTGATTCCTGGTCATGTATGTATGCCAAGGCAATGGACATTTTAGTACTTTAGCCATGTCCTTGGGAAAGCATTATGGCTTGACTTAAATTGAGCTCTATTCTAAAGTGCAAAATGGTACCAGGTATGATTTATTAAAACAATCTCTTCAGTTTATTGTACTCGCAATAAAACCATTCGTTGTTGTATCATATTGATTGATAATTTTTGACATTAATTTTTCTGCACAATTTCAAAAAAAAAAAAAGATTTAAAATTTTTTTTTTTGGCGGGAAAACTTGTGGAAAAATGGTTTTGTGTTAGTACTGTATGATGATGCAGGCTCTTGAACTCAACTTTCGTATTGTTTGTTTTGAAACATTTTCAGTATTAGCCACTTGAAATGCTTGCTATTTCACAACTTAAAGCAATTGCATAGACGTTACATTTTATAGAAGTGTACTCATCCACAAAATAGTTTATAATCTGCACTTCCTTTCTGTGGTGGATAAGTTTATATCGCAAAACTAGGCGTTGGGGTGTTCCTTTCGTCACATAAAACGAACTGATTAAACATGCGGAATTGTTATTGAAACGGACATCGATTGCGTTGTGTTTTCTTGAGTTGAACAGACGTGAGGTATAATTCAAACTGGTTTATTTATACTCAGCATGAACATCAATACGTTGTACAGCAAATACTTCTTGGTATAAAATATAGATCGTTAAATAATAGCTTCATGAGGAGTTGACATCGTAGAGAGCATAGAAAGGAGGGTGTGCATAACAAGCATCAAGTTGCGAAGCTACCATAGAAGGAATTACAGCGACGGCCTGAATCGGGCTTCTCACAACAGTGCTTTGCCTGGTTAATGTAGTTGTCAACGTTAGAGCGGCATTTGTCTCGGTGACAGCTAATCGGAGAAGTGCTAAACACGTGTTTGTACTCTAGAATATATCATGCCAAAAATGTTCCAAAAATAAAACAACGCTAATGATTGGCGCATACAAACGAAACATAACTCTGTCATTCCATATTAGGAGTGACACGCGACTAACACGAGGCAGAACTTTGGTGGGAATTTTGGGCAGTAAACAGACAAGTTCTGCGAGAACGCAATGGGAAACAATGTAGCGAACGTTTGGATATAGCGTCACGGTTGCTACAGAAACCATTATAGTCTCTCAGGGCTCAACTCGTGGTTATCAAAACAATGTCTGGAATTACAATCTAACTTAGAGAACATCATAAAGAAAGTGAAATTTTTTCATGTTAGATAACTGCGTGCGACACCTTCACAAGGTTCGAACAAAAATAGCCAAATTTTTTAACTAAAAACTGAAAATTTACTAAAATTTTGTCTGTTGACTTCAAAATTAGAGTTGTTTTCAGAAATATTGAAGAATATAATAAAAAAAAGTGTTGAAAAGTTTATATGGCCTTGATTATTGTGCAAAATTAACTGATTTTGTGGTTATTTAGGCAAACAACATTGCATTCATCTTGCTTTTATTTTTTGGAGCAAAATGCAATTCTTCTGGAGCTAAAAATGGAATAATAAAGTTTTATTGATTTCAGATGTCTGTTCGAAAAACGAACAATGCATGGTTTTGATGATTTACTCACCCTGCCATGTGTATATCGTTTACTGGTAATTTGTTGATTGGCTGTTAAATTTATAGAATTGTCAATTTCTCAGCTGTATAGATATAGTACATTGTTAATTTAATTTGATTCATTATTTATAATATTTTAGTCCAATTGGATCATACATATCAGATTTAGAAGTTAGTTATTAAAAGTTGTTTGATGAAATCACCCAAAATATTTAAATTGCCACTTGATAATAGCAAAGCTTTCTCTGAACGTTCACTCTCGTTTTATCAATATTTTTTAAATTCAAAACTGAGTGATGTGGTTTAGAGTTATTTTTGATTGAAATGGCTGAATGAGAAATAAAATGCTGGTAGCCCGTTTATTATTTATGAATGTTATTTTGAATATGCCTTTAAATCATAGCAACATAGAGCTCAATTGACGTAAAAGAAAAGCTTTTATGAATATTTAAATTAAGATTCAAGATTCAGGACGGAATGGCGAAACCCATCACCTTCAAAAAAACAACAAAAACCTCTCCATTGTACCAAATAAAAAAAAAAAGATGCAATCTGCTGCCTGTAATCTCCCACTGTGTATAGTTTACTTTTATCACACCTGTTACCATGGAAGCCACAATAACTTTGTTATGTTTCCACAAACATATGGTTACCGTATCGATCACGCTTCAAAAACTTTCAGCTCCAAAAATTGTATGGAACATAGAGAAAGCAGTTTAGATTTTCAATAAAATTGTCTTTATTTATAGCGGACGTTTGGATGTTCTATTCATATACATATTGCAGGGTTGTCTTTCTATAACATAAAGACAATGCATTGATATAAATCATACATATACTCTATTTTCGCTGAAGCAATGAATCGGTGAAAACAAAATCAATTTAAAATACCCTTTTTTCTATATTTTACTTTTCCACTTGTCAAAAGTAAGTGAAAATAAACTTAAAACAAAACAGTCGAATGTTTTTTCAGGGAAAATTAATTTCTGCTAAAATAAAGAATTTTACAGTAACATTGATCGGTAGTTTTAGTTTCCTATATTTTTTAACAATTAACACTTGGTGGGACATCTCCATTATCACTTGTCAAGGTTGGAGAATTCGTCATGCAAATACTTTTCATGCATGATGCGTACTGTAAAACCACTATTTTGATGTTTTGAGCATATTCACTGTGTCAAATATGTCAAGGAAACAGTGAGTTTTATTGTTATTTTTAGTGTTCACATAGATTTAATTTATTGGATTTTACTTATCAGCGAAATTAAAACCCAATGAATAATTAATGCAATTTCAGTATATCCTGTTTACAGTGTCTATTATTTCCTTATGCAATCTCCAGCCTAGCATCGAGATAGAGTAAGGTCTGAAAAAGCTGGAAAGAATAACATCAGGAAAGGCTGGATGGATGACAAATTACTGTAGTTTTTCACTAAAATTGTAGTTATTCTGAATTGAACCTGTTCCATAACTAAAATACACGTAATCTTATTTTTGGAGAAAATATAAAATTGTGTTCATTGCTGCTTTACTTTTGGTAGTTTGTATCTGGTACTTTGTGAAATCGTTGTCAGTATAGTTTCCGTTATCCCCATTCACCTTGATCTCCATTTATGCCGTTAATATTACTGTGTTCAGAGATGGAGGTACTGTTCACTCCTGCCACATTAATTTTTTCTACGGTCAGGCCAGACTTTTATTATCCCTTGTTTCACGAACCCACCGAATGAACAGGAGCTGAAAATGAAATAAAAATAAAATTTTATTTCAGCGTAATTTCTCGCGCCCCCGCCGTCTTGTAAGCGCAAAAAATTGCTAACAAATATTATTTTTATCTTCATTTTTTTAACGCCCGCCTTATAACAAATCCAAGTTGCATTTCCGTGGGAGTATCATGATCAAAGTACTGAAGTCTCGCACAGATGAGAAACAAGGTTATACATGGAATTAAATTTTATTTCATTTCTTCTCTCCGATCAATGATCTCACTTACAATTCTTTGAGAATCACACAAATCTAATGGAAAAAAAGAATTAATTTTAATTTTTTTCCACCCTCCTCAAAAAAATTGCCTTATAAAAACTCGAAAAACAAGAAGTAAAAAAAGTCTGGCCTCACAATGGCTATCTTCTTCACCAGTCATTTGTATAATTGTAACTGTGTTTATTTTGACCAAATGGACTTAATTTTTCATTGGATAAAAGTTTTGAAATTTTTGAAAAAGTAGAGAAAAAATGTAGTGTTTTATTAGTTCTTTGCACTAGCATCATCCTGCTATGTTCTGTAACTAAAATTTGAACAGTTTATGAAATTTATAGTGAACTAACAATTCATTGAACTATATTTGGCATTAAACAATTTTATAATAATCCAATCTTTCCAGAAAATCTCAAATTTAACCAAAAAAGAACAGAAAATCTAGAACAGAAAATTTGGTTATCAAATGTTGATGAATTAGAAAATTTATTGTTTTATCTTTAAAAAAAAGGTAACTATGGTAACCTAGAAGCATAACGAGTGAAAACTAAATAGAACATGGAGGAAGTGAATACAAAATTGTCAGGAATTCACTTTCAGAAGCCCTTGCCATCCTAACATTGTCCAGACAAATATAGTTTACTCATTTACTGTTGTATTTGCATGCATTTTAATGAAATAAACTTTTCTGTTCTTTTCTGCAGTTGATGGAATGATGACTCCAAACAAGATACCTACTCATCAGTTACCACCTCCCCCCATGTCTGAAGGGAAAGAAAGCAAATGCCCCACTCCTGGTTGTAATGGGCTTGGTCATGTGACCGGACTATATTCTCACCACAGAAGGTAAAGTTACATTTATTATAGTCATCTTAGATGAAAATCATACTAGTATTTGCAATGGCCGCAAGTGTTTTGCAAACGTGTACATCATAGTGTGCGGTTATACGAGATACCGAACAATATGCTAGAAGACAATCAAACAGGGGTATCATATTTGCTCTATTAATAACCCAGGTACTTGCATAAATTATAAAGATGCTTCTGTCGTACTTCTAATAAAGCACGATACGCAAGAAGACAATGCACAAGAGTAGACAAATATCACGTACTGTCTGAGTAACATACTTTTGCCGTATTCTTCAAATAATTGTGTATTTCCGATCCAACTGATCTGTGCATGACGCTATCTACTGGAGTGCACTTGACTGGGCTAAAACATAGTTACGAAAAATAAAAACAACCTTTTTGTGTTGCTCTTTATTATAAAATACGTCTATTGTCGAGGAAACATGACATCATCATTCTGTATTTTACAGTTCTTAATAACATGGGATGTAAATAATTTATCAAGATACACCCATGTATAAAAAAAATCTTCATATCGTCCGATATTGTATTGATTCATTCAAGCAATGTAACAGATTAGTAGTGTACTGTACTCTGCTCTAATCAAAACATATATAAACTAAGAATTGTATCACCATTACACTACCAGACTTTCTAACCAAAAATTTTTCTGCACTTTTTCTCTTATATTCTTCAATATTTTTGGAATTGAACCATAATTTTTGAGTCAACAGACAAAATTTGAGTAAATTTTCAGTTTTTACTCAAAAATTTTTTGCTATTTTTGTCCCGATCTTCTGAAGGGAAGTGCAGTCTATAAACGGGACTTTTTTGTGAATTTGTGATAAAAAGAGGGAACTTTTGGTGGGAAGGTTAAAATATGAATTATTTGACCATAGACATCCATCTGTCATTTACGTAAGTGTTACAATTAGAGCAGATATGGTATTTACACTCAAGGCAATAAAAAAAAGTTTAATCTGGAATTCATCGCATTATTGGAGTTACAATGAATTTCAAAGATGAGAAAAATTGTAGTAATTGTTTGAAAAAAATCTGGTTCTAAGCGTGTTCTATAGTCCCTATACAAGTGTAAGGATACTGATATAGTGAGGTGATCATTAAACTGATAAAACTACAATAATTGTCAGGCTAATGTGTATTCACCTCCAGTTGTCGTGGCAACTGTCTATTTTGTGTTAAGATAAAAATTAATGATTCATCCTCAGGTTGTTTAAAAGTAATAAATTTCACACCAAACACTTTATTGAATATGCAAATTGTTGTATTCTTTCTGTGCTTTTAATATTGCCGTGTTTTTTGTCTTTCTGTTTTCATGTTAATATCATTTATCTGCAACATGCATGTTCTTAGGGGGAAATAGTCACATGACAGTCATGTGACCAGTATTGATTGCATCACGAATAATAAATGTAATTATTTTTGTTACAGTTTATCTGGCTGTCCTCATAAGGACAAAATACCCCCTGAGTGTAAGTTTGACTTCTGTTTGAATTTTGCACTTCACAAACTGTCCTCTTCTCACTTCTGCATGATATGGTCTTCTCAATTTGTTCCTCAAAAATTCCATGTGCTGTTTTTTTCTCACTAATTTGTTAATTTCCATATATGGTTTTGGCTGGCTTTAATGGTTTCCATATATGGCCAGGTGCATGATGGTATTGCCTTATATGGTCATGTTAATGATTACAATTATTCATAGTCTTGCCATCTGAGTCTTTTGTGATGATTTAAATATAATAATTCTGTTTTACAAATTAAAGTTAATTTCACTTTTGTTTTATTTTCAGTGTTGGCGCAACATGATCATGTTTTAAAGTAAGATAAATCGATATTTCATTTCCTCGTTCTTTTCTTCATTCTTTTCTTCTTACTGTAGGTAGTAGGAGACCTCTGTCTTTGACATGTGATATGTGAAAAATCAGTGTATGTTTAGATTAACATAAGCATGCTGTGGTTCTTGTAGATCAGTTTGTAAATTCAGTTTAGTTTAAATTATGTGCATCATAGTTCACGCAAGTCGACCTGAAATTTAACGTTTGCTATTAGTTTTTTGATTAACATAAGGGCAACATGGTTCTTGTTGATCAGAATTTCAGTGTATTTTATTGGTTTTTAGATTAAATTAAGCAGATGTATCTGGATTAGGAATTAGCAAACCATTGCTTGGTATATTAAATGATATATTTATTTTTACCACTAATCTAAACTTTTCTGTTCATTTAAAAAATTTTCATGACTTTGTCTCTGTACGTTATTCAAGATGAGATTGAAATACTCAACAGGTTTAGTAAAATTCAACTAAAGTATTCGCGAAAGTCGACCCACACATTTGTTGGTGGTGCACGCTGACCTGAAACATTATTTTTGTTTAGGCCTATTTCAAATTTAGGCTAAAACTGAGGACTAGAGCCACTATGTTTATCTACAGTTTATTTATGTCATTGTTTTGTTGGTTTTAAGAAGCATTAAGAGAAAATACGTTGAAATATACTGGCACAGCAATCGTAGTCTAATACTGTAAGCGGATCAATTCATAGTGTATTTTAGGTTGGTGCTTAGTTGATTTGCAAAACAACAATTTGTTTAAACAAATGTCTATTAAAATAATTTTTCACACACTGTTACATCAACCGTATTGCTATTAAATTGACGACGATCTTTGGCAAAATATTAAAGAAAAGCGTGAAAAAATTTCATCGCCAATATTTAGAAATATAGAGGGATAGCTGTTGTTTGTGTTGTAAAGATGGCGTGCTGAATATATTAATGTTGATAAGAGAAAGCATTTACAGTTGAAATGCAGTTCATATTAGGCCAACAACAAAAATTGATGTTGTTTTTGTCGTTTGCATCACTTAATTATTTTCTATTTTTTTCTATAACAAGAAGCACATTTTTTTGACATATTTGTGATTACACTGTAGCCTCGTTATAACGAACTCTTTGGGAGGCATGCAATTAGTTTGTTATAGTGAAATGTTCACTATAATGAAGCACATAATACATTGGGTTTGTTGTGAGCGGGGGACATGTTATGTGTTCATTATATCAGGAAATTCATTATAAAGGTGTTCATTATATTGAGGTTACAGTGTATGTAGTAGGATGAAAATTACACAAGCTTAAAGTCAAGTCAGTTTCTTTCCATAGGTTAACAAGGCAGGAACAGAGTAGTTTTTTCCCCTAAACTTGAATGCATTTCTTCACAGTATTGGGGTGTACGGTATAAGCATGCTGATGAGCAATTTGTTGACTGGGGAGTTCTGTTTTCAGATTACTAATGACAAGACAACTTGAGAGCTTAAGAGATTAAGTTATATAGCTAAGAAATTAAGGTTTTTAAGAGCCCAACTTTCTTTGCTTTTGACAGCCAGGAAGCTAAGGAGTTTGCTTTTACCAGCCAGGCAGGCAGCTGAGGAGTTAGCTTTTACCAGCCAGGCAGGCAGCTGAAGAGTTTGCTTTCAACAGATAGGCAGCTAAGGAGTTTGCTTTTACCAGCCAGGCATCTGAGGAGTTAGCTTTTACCAGCCAGGCAGGCAGCTGAAGAGTTTGCTTTCAACAGATAGGCAGCTAAGGAGTTTGCTTTTAACAGCCAGGCAGCTAAGGCGTTTGCTTTCAACAGCCAGGCAGCTAAGGAGTTTACTTTTAAAAGCCAGGCAGCTAAGGAGTTTACTTTTGACAGCCAGGCAGCTAAGGAGTTTACTTTTAACAGATGGACAGCTAAGGAGATTATTTTTAACAGCCAGGCAGCTAAGGAGTTGGCTTTTAACAGCCAGGCAGCTAAAAAGTTTGCTTTTAACAATCAGGCAGCTAAGGAGTTGGCTTTTACCAGCCAGGCAGCTAAGGAGTTGGCTTTTAACAGCCAGGCAGCTAAGGAGTTGGCTTTTAACAATCAGGCAGATAAGGAGTTGGCTTTTAACAGCCAGTCAGCTAAGGAGTTGGCTTTTAGCAGCCAGGCAGCTAAAGGAATTTTCCTTTTAACAGCCAGGCAGCTAAGGAGTTTTCTTTCAACAGATAGCCAGCTAAGGAGTTTACTTTTTAACAGCCAGGAAGCTGAGGAGGTTGCTTTTAAAAGATAGGCAGCTAAGGAGTTTGCTTTTAACAGATAGGCAGCTAAAAAGTTTGCTTTTAACAGATAGGCAGCTAAGGAGTTTGCTTTTACCAGCCAGGCATCTGAGGAGTTAGCTTTTACCAGCCAGGCAGCTAAGGAGTTCACACTATCCTAGCCAATACGTCCAAATTTGTAATAGCTAGAAGGATGAGGATTTATAATCATGCATCTGAGAAGTCCAGGTTATCAATGTTTAATTTCTTTGTTTTCTATTTATAGATGTCCCACTCCAGGTTGTACTGGTAGAGGCCATGTAAACAGTAACAGAAACTCTCACAGAAGGTTTGTGTTCCACACAATTTTTCTTATGAAATTTAGGACTGTCAAAGTCAACTTTTTGTCACAAAAAAAAAAAACTACGTAGTCTTTTTCATATTTCAATTTCGACCAAGAAGACCTGTAGTCAAAAGGTGATTATGTCTATTTATTTGACAAACTAAGAAACTAACACCCGAAAAATACTAAAGCTGTCTTCCATTTTTATTATCAAAAACAATGAATCACTTATAACAGATGCAATAACCCTTGAACGGAAAACTGAAATCTGGTGGCCATCTTTCCTTTTCTACACTAATCAACAGCAGGAAGGAAACAACATTGTCTTTGCTAAAATAAAGTAGTTCATTGAGTGGGTTTATCTGCAAAATTGTCACCCACTCTCTTTGTGTTTTCAAATTATTTCACATTGCATCTCATCTTTCTGATTGTTTCTAGTTTATCGGGTTGTCCGATCGCAGCTGCTGAGAAGACAAAAAATACGGCCAGTAGTTTACTCGCACAACAACGGCAGATGTCTGATAGAGTACTGAGGTAGGGAGAATTCTCCAATAACCCTTGACCTGGAAGTGTTTGTAAATTTACCCATAGTGCAATGTAACTTGTAGTCCTCATGGCTAGACACCCTGGTAGATTAATTAACTGATAATTTATTAACTACTGATTAATGTGAATTTATTTAACTATTTCTCATGTTAATAAATTTTTTTAACAAATAATTTTTCAAGAAGAAGTTTTTCATCCTTGAAAAAATTGAAAAAGTAAAGTTTTAATTTTTTGTTTGTTTTGTTGTCAAGATTATCCAGTTCCACAACAAGAAGGAATATGTTCAATGTCTATTAAATAATGCTTTTTGATAGATGCATTAATTGATTTTGATCAACAAAATATTTTCGCAGTCTATCATATATGGCAGACATCACTGGTACACACATAAAAAATGTGTGAATCGCAGTTTTATACCAACACGCATGATGTTGGGAAGTAAAAGTTTACTGGGCTAAGCAGCTTCAAAAAAATAAGCTTGCAACAGCAATGACAATTCTAATTAGATGCATCTTGAAATGTTGTTTCAAGACAAAAAAACTTCAAGTGTTTTTTGCGGAATTTCAACGTGAACATTCACAAAAAATTAATGCTTTACTGTAGGTACTTGATCTTCATACAGTCAAACCTGTGTGAGTGACAACCTCTATATAAAAACACATGCCTATAGTGACCACCTCTATATAAAGAACACCTGCCTATAGTGACCACCTCTACATAAAAACACCTGCCTATAGTGACCATCTCTATAAAAAGAACACCTGCCTATAGTGACCATCTATATAAAAAGAACACCTGCCTATAGTGTCCACCTCTACATAAAAACACCTGCCTATAGTGACCACCTCTATATAAAGAACACCTGCCTATAGTGACCACCTCTACACAAAGAACACCTGCCTATAGTGACCACCTCTATATAAAGAACACCTGCCTATAGTGACAACCTTTATATAAAGAACACCAACCTATAGTGACCACCTCTACATAAAAACACCTGCCTATAGTGACCATCTCTAAAAAGAACACCTGCCTATAGTGACCATCTATATAAAAAGAACACCTGCCTATAGTGTCCACCTCTACATAAAAACACCTGCCTATAGTGACCACCTCTATATAAAGAACACCTGCCTATAGTGACCACCTCTACACAAAGAACACCTGCCTATAGTGACCACCTCTATATAAAGAACACCTGCCTATAGTGACAACCTTTATATAAAGAACACCAACCTATAGTGACCACCTCTACATAAAAACACCTGCCTATAGTGACCAACTCTATATAAAAACACCTGCCTATAGTGACCATCTCTACATAAAAACACCTGCCTATAGCGGCCATCTCTATATAAAAAACACCTGCCTATAGTGACCATCTCTATATAAAGAACACCTGCCTATAGTGACCATCTCTACATAAAAACACCTGCCTATAGTGGCCATCTCTACATAACAACACCTGCCTATAGTCACCACCTCTATATAAAGAACACCTGCCTATAGTCACCACCTCTACATAAAAACACCTGCCTATAGTGACAACCTTTATATAAAGAACACCAACCTATAGTGACTACCTCTACATAAAAACACCTGCCTATAGTGACAACCTCTATATAAAGAACACCTTCCTATAGTGACCATCTCTATATAAAAACATCTGCCTATAGTGACCATATCTACATAAAAACACCTGCCTATAGTGACCACCTCTATATAAAGAACACCTGCCTATAGTGACCACCTCTATATAAAGAACACCTGCCTATAATGACCACCTCTATATAAAGAACACCTGCCTATAATGACCACCTCTACATAAAATCACCTGCCTATAGTGACCATCTCTATAAAAAGAACACCTGCCTATAATGACCACCTCTACATAAAATCACCTGCCTATAGTGACCATCTCTATATAAAAATACCTGCCTATAGTGACCACCTCTACATAAAAACACCTGCCTATAGTGACCATCTCTATAAAAAGAACACCTGCCTATATTGACCACCTCTATACAAAGAACACCTGCCTATATTGATCACCTCTATACAAAGAACACCTGCCTATAGTGACCATTTTTAGGCAATCCCACGACGTAACATATGAGAAGCTTGTGTATAAAGACCAACTGTTTTATGTCACCACCCCTTCATTAATATTTTTGCAGATTTGTCTTTATTCAGAGATTCTTTTTATAAATCAATCTTAATTTTTTCAACTCAACTCAAATAAATGTGTACCATCTTATTTTATGGACAAATATTACGTCGAATATATGAGTTGGCTATCAATCAAAAATTAATCAAACCTCCATAAAACAACCACATGTCTATAAAAAACATTTTAAGGAAGTCCCTTGGGTGTCGCTAAACACAAGTTTAACTGTATTTTTATTTCCAGACAAACTGTTAAGTACCTTCTCCATGATTAGGCTAGACAAATTCTCCCAGCATTCTGTATCAAACATTTGACTTTTTACAGAAGTTGCAATTGATAATAAATTACAAACCTTATTAATCTGCCAGGGTCTATGGCCATGTATCTGCATTTGGCAGTTTTGTCCTCGTCAGAATGTTCCAACTAGAATACATTCATGTTTTGTTTTTTATCACTTGTAATTTTTGTTTGTATTTTCTTTATTTTGAGCCAATGTGGTAAAATTTACTGTTTGATCTTTTTCAAAATTTATGAAAAAAACAAAACAAATTGAGAACTGAATATGCTATTTAAGTAGAAAAAAGTAGTAGTTTAGTCTGCAAGATGTCCTGATCACAGGCATTGGAGGTAAGTAACAACACCAAATTAACATCAACATGTAACTGTAGAGGGCGATTAATCTCAGGAATCAAACATTTCCATAAAGCACCACTAGAGGGTTTAACTAACATCCAAATATTACAGTATAGCATTATAATAAACATCCTCACTGCATAATAAGTTAAAAAACATGCCTAACTCTCATCTGTAATTGTAAATGCAACACGACTAACTTTGCAGGTTAGTAAACATTGTCTAACTTCACTTGCATAGTAATCTGCCTCTGTTACCAAGTGGTAACCAACTGCTGCAAGGTAAGTGAGAGGTGGGGGGAAAATTCTGACGATTGATGTTTTTTTTGTTTTTTTTTGCATTTACTTTGTTTGTATAAATTGTAATTGTTGTATAATTTGTTTTTTCTCGCGGTGTATTGACCTATTTTGCGCTTATTGTTTGTTAGATTTTTCTTATTTCAAACAAAAATAAATGTTTCTGACTGTATATTTTTTCATTTTATTGTGTTTTTATTGTGTTCTGGTCATATTTATACGTCTTGTCGCTTACTTGCCTCGATGTGCTCTTTGTTCATTGTTATCCATCCTTGTATGTATGTTTGTCCCACATGTGTTTAATTCGCATGTGTGTACGTGTTCAATCCACTGCATGTGTTCAATTCATGTGTGCATGTGTTCACCATGTGTTCAATTCATGTGTGCATGTGTTCGCTATGTCCTTCATTCCATGTGTGCATGTGTTCTCCCATGTGTTCACCATGTGTTACCACACCTGTGCATGTTTTCTCCTTCCTGTGTTATGCGATACACCTCTTTATTATTCCAGTGGTGTGTGTTTAGTTCAGTGGAAACTCAGTGATGGTACACCAGACACAGCACAACAGTCTTCTATTAGGTACGTTCATCCCATTCTCTTCTCCCTGATTTGTACCTTAGTACCTTTCCTTGTTTTTCCATGGGTGTCACACTGTCAGTCCGGTAAAAATAATTTGGAATGTGCGCATGTTACTTTTGTTCATTCAACAAGAAATGGAATATGCCCCACTTTGTCCATTTTAACTGAAAAATAAAATTATTTTGTATATTTGGTTCGTGCTTCATTACAGAGAAGATGAATTATCAAGGTGAGTTGTTTTTTAATTGAATATTTGCAAAAATCAAATCCTGTCTGCTAGTGAATTTATCTCGGTCTACAAACAAAGTGTTTGATTGATCTAGATCGGGTAAAAAAAACTTTATAAGGTAAGTTAGTTTATCACTTGTGAACATAAATACAATGAAATCATCCTATTGGCTAACATTATTGTTACCTATCAATGATTGGCTGATCTATATCACATGGTAGTTTTCGACCAATTAGTATTCAGAAAGATCGCGTTCCAGGATCATGGTAACAGGTAATTCACCACTTTGATTCAACAGTTGAAGTGTACACCAATACGAAGGACTGACAATTCCATGTAATAATAATCCCTTCTAATATTATATTTCCTTTTGTGTTTCTCTGTTTGCCAGTATTGCTGTTAACTAAAAATATTGTTAAATTATTTTAGCAATTGAATGTTTTATTCATGGTTAAATTTTATCATTTAAAATGCATCTGTAAAGTTATTTTATCATTTTAAAGATTATACATCTTTAGGGATATTTGAAAACTGAAGGTAGTTATATGGCATTGATAGAATAGTTAATTTTAGATGACCTTTGCAGCTGAAAGATGATAGCATTTGAACGGTGAATGTAGCTATATGACATTTGAAAATTTGTAGATGTGTTTAAAATGGTTAAGGGTAGATGAATTTAGCATTCAAAAGGTGAAGGTAACTGTAATTGTATTTAAAGTGGTAATGGGTACTTTATTTTATTAGGATTTTAAAGGTTGAAAATAGATGGAAAAGATTGAACAGTGCTATAAAAACTGCACGTTTTATGCCTCAATGCGTTCTCACTCATGTTTTCTTGTTTACATTTTACAGACCTGTTTGCTTTGTGAAGAAGCTTGATATACCATCCTCTGGGTATGCTCCAATGGTAAGCGCTACCACTCCACGAACCAACCTGGCAAAGGAGCTCGAGAAGTACTCGCGAACAACGCTGGAATATGTCCCCATTACTGTGCAGGAGACCACTACTACGACAGTGACCTCTTCACAACAGCCGGCCGTACAGCAGAGCCCGCAGAGCTACCCGAGAATTGCACCGAAAATACTGACACCTGATGCACAGAAGAAACTATATAAACCAACACCGTTGTGCGTTACCACCAATGGCGATCATGAATACCGTATCGATTCTACTGTAGCGAAATTGGCGGCAAGTGCCGTGAACTTATCGACAAAGCAGTCATCGACGACTTCTACAACATTGAACACACCGAATACTTATAACAGTATTCAGAGCAGCAACAGTACTATAAGTGAGACTACAACAACAGTCAACAACATGGAATTGTCAATCAGCCCGTCGTCGCTGCCGATGGTAAACGGCACATCTCCAGTTAGCGACAGTATGAAAGTGGATAGTTATGGAACTCTCGATCTGAGCATGAAATCATTTCCTAGCCCGGGTAATTCTATGATCACTGTTTCCAAAACGGTAACCACGTCACAGTATACGCAGCAAACAATCAAGAACGAACCAATCACATTTGACCAAGTCGTCAACTTCTCTACTACAACAAACTCCTCCAAAATCAAAATCACAGACGTAAGGTCCTTAGATGAAAATCCAGGGTAAGACATAATAGATTTTCATTGTTATGGACGGATTTATTTTGTTCAGGTCTCCGCATAGCTTTGCTTTTTATTCTGATTCTTTTATTGTGTTTGTGGTGCCTCTATCAACGGACTTTCAACCCCTTTTCCCTTGACGTTGAACTTTGTTCTTGCCAGCCATTCAAGCATTTGAAAATGACATTTATTTATTTTTCCAAGCTTGATTTGATGTGATAGTTGCTTTTCTAAATACTCTGCTGTACAAAAATATGAAAATGACAAATCTAATGGATGGTTATTGATAAACTGCTTACTGAGTGAAATGGATTATAACTGAACTATGAACAACAATTTGTGTTATATATATTAATCTACAAACTGTTGGGGAAAATAGAAATTTCTGCTGGATGTTACAACATCCAGACAGAAATGTGCTAATTTTACTTACGGCAGTCAGTCATATCCATGATGGTTTGTAGTCAGTGGTGGTGCTTGAATGGCCTTTGAAAAAAAACAAAAAACAAGGAATTTGTTGCTTTTCATGTTTTTTCTTCTCTGTTCAGTCTTCCTGCTTGTCTTCCTTGCTATGTCTGTTAATTTGCCGCATTGCTTTGTTTACATGTCAGGCGCCCTCTATTTTTCATCTCCATGCTTTACTAATCATATGCATTCATTACTCTATTTAAAATAGCTGTAGCTAGCTCTGTTCACAGCTCCGTTCTACTCTGTATTAACTCTAACTCTCTAGGGATAAAAAAAGCAAAAATGAAAATTCAGTAACATCGCTCCTCAAGATTATATATAAACTTAGAGGTGCCTTTAGAATAACACTACTTTACTTAAACATTTTTAATTCTAAAACTTGCTAAAATTTCACCCGTTTTTGTAGATTGGCATGAAAAAACTAAAATATTCAGTTCCAGTAGGAAAAGTGTTTAAAAGCGTTTTCAATATTTTGTTTGTGAGGAACTTGCTCTTTGTCTGTCACTTAAGAAGCGATTAAAGTTTTTATTTGGATTACTGGCATGATGATCTGAGGTACGTGCCCGGAAATGAGGTCATATTTACTATTGTTAGGCCGTGTTTGTAAGATAAGATTAGAACAAAATTTGACCTTTGACATTTGACCTTTCGAATATCTTGTCAGCACTCCCACCTTTTGTAAAATAGGGACAGTATGTCAATAACCTCATTTTGTCTGGCACAGAATTACATACAAATTATAACAATTTTGGGTTTGATTTCCAGTTTGATCAGCTAAAAGAAAAAATGTATGACCGAGATCAAAAGATTAAATTTAATGTGAAAAATCTCAAAGAAGATTTATATCTTCATTTTGGAACCATGACTCGATCATTTTGAGCTGTAAATTACAGAGATGACACAATATGGTCAAAATAAGTCTCATTATTTTTACTCAATGTGCTTGTAATGTACATGTTTTTGTCCCAACCTTCATAAAATATAATCACAAAATTTTACTGTGATGTTCCATTTAAGAATCGTGTGTCACTTCTGTGAAATTTTCTCGTCAGATTCATACAAATTGGTTTTCGCAAAATTCTTGTGGTTTACAGTTTATTTGACGTTTGGCTCACTGCATGTTTTTTTTCATCTTCTACTACATGTAGTAATAACATTATTTTAAATTAAATATTTGACGTTTGGCTCACTGCATGTTTTTTTTCATCTTCTACTACATGTAGTAATAACATTATTTTAAATTAAATATTTGACGTTTGGCTCACTGCATGTTTTTTTTCATCTTCTACTACATGTAGTAATAACATTATTTTAAATTAAATATTTGACGTTTGGCTCACTGCATGTTTTTTTTCATCTTCTACTACATGTAGTAATAACATTATTTTAAATTAAATATTTGACGTTTGGCTCACTGCATGTTTTTTTTCATCTTCTACTACATGTAGTAATAACATTATTTTAAATTAAATATTTGACGTTTGGCTCACTGCATGTTTTTTTTCATCTTCTACTACATGTAGTAATAACATTATTTTAAATTAAATATTTGACGTTTGGCTCACTGCATGTTTTTTTTCATCTTCTACTACATGTAGTAATAACATTATTTTAAATTAAATATTTGACGTTTGGCTCACTGCATGTTTTTTTTCATCTTCTACTACATGTAGTAATAACATTATTTTAAATTAAATATTTGACGTTTGGCTCACTGCATGTTTTTTTTCATCTTCTACTGTAAAATCTGTATTAGAAGCCGCGGCTTCTATTAAAATGGTACAATGCAACAGAGGGGATGCGGCTTCTATTAGAGCATCTACACATATGAGAAATGATGAATTTTTAGTTCTCAATTATTCAAATAGTATGGATGCGACTTCTATTAGGGATGCGGCTTCTAATACAGATTTTACGGTACTACATGTAGTAATAACATTATTTTAAATTAAATGGCCAACTCATTGTATTCATAATTAGAGGCAATGACAATTTAAAAATCAGACTCTGATTGTAAGAAAAACTTAGGTCAGTAAACGGTTATTAGTTCAGACGTGGAGCAAGGTATCACTATGGTAACAAAGCATATGTATATCCCTAGAGGAAGTAGCTTACTAATCGCTGTATTAACTATTTTCAGTCTGTTGATGAGACCAGATTCACCAGCGCCTTTATCGCCTAAACCTAAAAAACCTAAATGCATAATTGACGGCAAAGTTCGCGAACTTATCAGGTAGGTTTTATACTGCCCTCACATGGCCATTCTGTGCTCATCTTTTAATTTTTTTGCATGGCTTCTTTAGTGATGTATCATCGTGCATATAGCTGTGTTGCCATAGCGACTGCATGTTGTTGTTTTTATTTATATGTTGAGTTGGTGTAGTTTAAAGTTGTTTGTGCACTAGGTGGAGTATGTCGTTAAACCAGCGAGTTCGTCAGAAGTACACCCTAGGGGATAGATTTGTCGGTAGCTACACTATCACCAAAACTTCATCCTCCTAATCCAAATTTGTCATCCTCAACAAATCCGTTGCCTAGTAACGGGTTATTAATAGATTTGTTCTCCTCTCTCTGGAGTTTCATTAATACATTTATTTTGCCCCGGATATACACAGATTAAAAGTACTTGTATTTTACTAGAAATTATGTTACCAATCCAGTGTAGAAAATACAACACTAGAGTCCAATAATCATTTGTTTAGTAGACTCAAATGATGAAACTGGTTAATGACAAATACTGTATTCTGTTTAGTCTTATGCATGTGGTGATGCCACATTTTGTTAAATGTGCTAAATCATATTGTGATAAATGTAATGTCTGATTGTGTTATTTATTAATTTATATTTCTGTTGGGAATATTAAAATATTTGACTGATTTGTTATTGGTTATACAGGCATGTTTGGTGTCTTGGTGTTGGTATTGATATATTTTATATATTGTTAGCTGGTAGTATTGTTGTAATGTTAGGAAAGTTATAATCTTGCATACATGGGTGAACGCCCAGCCTTTCCTTGCAGTTCTTCTATTCGCTGTGTTTGAATCCATGGCAACATGGTCTGTTCTTCTCCATGAACTTTAACCTCACCTTTGACATGTCTTCTTTCCATACACTTTCCGTGGAGCTTGTAATAAAATGTTGTTTTAACACATCTAAGACATTTAAGGATTTGAATTTGGCAAAGATTTTCAGAAAAAGACGGTCTTACAAAATCTAATTCTTGAGTCTAAATGTGAGTAAAACATTGAAATCAGATTTTGTAAAGTTATACGACACAAGTTGTGTGTAATAAACTAGCAACCAATAGAGCGATCAATCCGTGACCTCAAAAGGTCACACATCCTGGTACTTTCTTGGGCCATGTGTACACGCTGTGAATTTACTTTGATAGTGTATCCATGCTACCTGTACAAGTACCAGGATGTATGACCTCAGAGGTCATGATCTTTGACCTGTGACAATGAATCAAAATGGTAGCAACTGCAAACCTGATTTTTTTCAACCAAGAATGGTTAGTAAGTTTTTTTTTTGTCAGAATTTTATGAAAGAAAAATTAAATTTTTATGAAATAGCACAATGGCAATTTTAAAATAATGAAAAATGCTTTTCATCTATTTTTGCTAGGCCAATTCAGATTTGCGTAAAGTGGGGAGCATACGAGACACTAACAACAGTGTAACGAATACATTAAAGATTCCTTATGTAATTAACCCTCATTCTGTTCACTGCCTGTTCTAAAAGACTCAAAACAACCTTAGATGTGTTAATTTTAACTACAGTTCCTTTTCATCACTTCTAAATTCAGAGTGCCCTCTCTCAATCAAGGAACTTCAGAGTTTTCACTTCATTGAAGTCAAATGTAAGCAACGAAAGTACAGTGTTTTCTTATTTGAAACATCATTTTCTATGATCGGTACTTACTACTTACTACTAACTATAAGCAACTCAAATTGAAATCCAAATTTGTATTTACCACGGTGATTTTTTGTATCAATCCTTGATTACTGTGAGGGCGCTTTCTTCATCCATTGCATTTGTATCATGTAGAGGTCATTGACCTTTCACTAACCACTAAGTACCATGGAATCTTTCATTTATAGCTGCCCTACTCCAGGTTGTGATGGCTCCGGTCATGTCACTGGCAATTACGCATCACACAGAAGGTAATTTATTCAACACTAAATGCTCTTATCATCGTTAACAACTCGTTCTTATTAATATTCAGTCACCTTATAAAAATAACATATCATCATCTCAGCAGCCTAATCCAAGATGGCTGCCATATTGTAGGCCAAGATTTATACTGATCTCTGACCACCCTGCTTGTCAGTTGATAAAATGGCAGCCATCTTGGATGATTTTTAACCTTACTATAATACACATACTAGCTGCTCATGTAACCATGGTAATGCCTCATCCTTAATTCTGGTGCAAGCTGCTAGCTTTTCTAACTTTCTGCAGTTGAAGCCTTTCCCAAGGAGTTTTGTGATATGTTTTTCTTTCTAAAAATGAACAAGCTAGCAAAATAGGATGGAGTTTGTTGTTTGGTGGAGATCTTATTTAGAAAAACATAGATACGAATTGACATGCTATGAAATAAGAAACTGTTTTTTTTTTTTTTCACCACATTTTTATTTTGCCAAGGAAACGAAAGCTTCAAAACATTGATGTTCAGGTATTAAAGTGTTGTACATAGGCAGTCGCAAAGTGACTGCAGTGACTGGTTGGCATGTGTTGGTCATCTGCACCTGAGGATAAAATAATACATTGTTAACTGAAAGTGTTCGTAAATAGTATCGTTTGTTTCTTTTTCAAATGAAACAACTTATGGCAATGTTGTCACAGTAGATTGCAGGGACATTTGAATGGTGGTTGACAAAAATGTAAACTTATGATGTCGAAATGTGACATCCAATCTGGCTAAAAAAAAATTTTTTATGATATTCCGGATGTTGAAAAAAGCTTCTATAGTTTTACAGTTTGTTGACAGAATTCAGAAAAATCTGTGAGCTTTCGTTTTTGAACTGACACCTTTATTTTTTTTATTTATCTTGTATTTATTTTTCTTTATCACCCTATAAGAATATCATATTCTGTGGATTCATTTAAATTGACTCAGTTGTTGTAGTATGTTCAGTAATTTATAATTTAGGTTATTTATTTATAAATTGATTGCTTATTGTTAAGATAGTGAGAGAACAAAAACGGGGAAAAAAGTGTAATTGTGATTAGAGTATTCTCCGCCAGTTACTAAGTACATGTATGTAACTATGACGATATATACGTGCTCAGAAGTCTGTCATCTTGCGTCCATAACTCTAAATCAAAAGCGCATGAAAATGTGAATGGATGGTATAAATTCTGTATTGTTAACAAGGAGAAACGTGTAAAATAGTAAGATAGTCAAAAATTAGTTTTCTACTTTATTCTCAAATGTATGATTTTTCAATCCTATATTATAAATTTACCTAAAGTTGTGGGCTGTCAATCTAGAGGTGAAAAGTTCAGAAATTTCAATGAGAGTGACCGATAACTTTAACGTTGTGAAAATGTACAGTGCAATATTTAGCCAAAACTAGGTTTTAGAAAATAAAGGAAAAATTGCGCACTAAATTCAAATTTTGACCAAAAATAAATAGAAAATGCAATATAATGTTACATAATCAAAGATTTCTTTAAACAAAAACTGTTGATATGCATGAATTTTAATTCAGTTTGTTTATTTAATGAACTTTCTATTTGTTATTTATTAATTTTACAGTATGCATGCTGTTTTTTTTTATATTCCTTTTTATGTAATGTGATTGCAACATGGTTTGTAAAGAGGTACAATATCAAAGTACCCAGGCCTAAGTCTCATGGTCAGAATATTCCATGTCATGGATAAGGACCCAGGCCTAAGTCTTGTGGTCAGAATATTCCATGTCATGGATAAGGACCCAGGCTTAAGTCTTGTGGTCAGAATATTCCATGTCATGGATAAGGACCCAGGCTTAAGTCTTGTGGTCAGAATATTCCATGTCATGGATAAGGACCCAGGCCTAAGTCTCGTGGTCAGAATATTCCATGTCATGGATAAGGACCCAGGCCTAAGTCTTGTGGTCAGAATATTCCATGTCATGGATAAGGACCCAGGCTTAAGTCTTGTGGTCAGAATATTCCATGTCATGGATAAGGACCCAGGCATAAGTCTTGTGGTCAGAATATTCCATGTCATGGATAAGTACCCAGGCCTAAGTCTCGTGGTCAGAATATTCCATGTCATGGATAAGTACTCAGGCCTAAGTCTCGTGGTCAGAATATTCCATGTCATGGATAAGTACCCAGGCTTAAGTCTTGTGGTCAGAATATTCCATGTTATGGATAAGGACCCAGGCCTAAGTCTCGTGGTCAGAATATTCCATGTTATGGATAAGTACCCAGGCCTAAGTTTCATGGTCAGTATATCCAATGTCATGGTCAGAATATTCTTTCTCATAGTTGCGGTAAGTACCCAGGCCTCGGGTCTCATATTCCAATGAGTAGACATGGAATGAGCTCAATAAATGTACTTGTGGTCAGGGAATGATCACGAAGAAGAAAAATATTGTCAAATCTATGATGGTGTTAGAAGATTTTAACATAACGGCATGGTAACAAGGGCACTTGTAATCCATCAGTAACCATGGCGACGACAGCTAGACATGGGTCTATTTAGAACTTTATTTATTACTTTATTATAGCTTATCAGGATGTCCAAATGCAGACAAAAGTATGATTATTCAAGGATCTCAAGAACTTAGGTAGGTGTCAATGTCTTATGAAGCATTCCCTCAACAAGAACCTGTCTGATTAATAAGGTGAATGATTTATTGACTGGATACCTTTGGAATACTGTTTTAATAGTTGTGTCATTATTTTGTTGACAAATATTTATGCCACGTTTGTCATTCGCAGTGACAACTTTGCACAACTTTGACCTAACCAATGTGCCTGACTTTTCTTGTCGTTTTCACACTCTGTCATAGGGTTGATTCCTATATCCCTTAATTTGTTTTTCATTCTGTAAGTAGATGCCCAACACCAGGTTGCGACGGATCTGGCCATGTAACTGGCAATTATTCATCACATCGCAGTCTTTCTGGATGTCCACGGGCCAAGAAAAATAAAATTATGATTTCACCGAGAAAGGAAGGCGACACACCAATGCCTTGTATAATGCCGTTAAAAGAGGAGGAACCACTCAAGTAAGCTGACTTTTATTACAAACTTTCTTCGCTGTATTTCTACTGAATTGTTTTACGTAAACAAACTATCTGCACAAAGTCTGTACAAATTGTATTTTAAAGGGCCACTTGCCGTAACTGCTTATGCAGAGTATACTGTTCTAATTTTGTTCTCTGGTCTATCCTAATTTTTGTTATTTGTTTTGGAATCAGGGGGAATGTGTCTCACTATTTAAATAAATAGGAGCTGCATAAATTATAAAATATCAACTTAGTGGGTAATTCCCAGTGAGTTAAGGGGGACAGCTAGTTTTGTCATATCGATCTATTCAAGTGATATGGCTGCTTGTCATGGCTCAGAGCGGTTCATTTAAGAAACTATTTGATTTGTATATGAAACTGTTTTTTTGAAAACTGCAAGTTTGTATCAAACATTGTTTTTCCAGGTGTCCACTCCCGATGTGTGATGGTTCAGGTCATGTGACCGGCAAGTTTGCAACCCATCGTAGTGCGTCAGGATGTCCATTAGCGGCTAAATGTAATCTAACATTCAAAACAACACTACCATCAACCGCAGACACTTCAACAAGTTGGCGACCAATCAAAATGGACGGTTTAACGTAAGTAATTTTTTTTATTATTTTTTTAAGAAATCAGATTCTACAAGATGGATTTCTTGTTACTGTAGTCATGGTATACTGCTGACACTAGAGGGCGTGATTTCTCAGAACTACAATGCCCATCTAGTAATTTTATTTTTCTTTGTTTCTAACAGTTTTGGGATGATGAACAATCAAGTATTGGGGTGAGTGCTTATTGCTGAATCTACCGAGCCACTGCCATTGGTAGCTGCTTGGGGCAGTAAGCCTATAACTACTTAACTATTTCACCGCCAGACTTTCTCGCTCAAATTTGTCTGCACTTTCTGCACTTTTATTCTTCAATATTTCTGGAAATGAACCCTAATTTTGGAGCCAACAGAAAAAATTTGAGTCAATCGTCTGTTTTTACCCAAAAAATTTGGCTATTTTTGTCCTAGTCTTCTGAAAGAAAGTGCAGACTATAATGGGGACTAATTTTGTAAATTTGTGATGAAAAAGGAACTGGTGGTGAAAAAGCTAATGTAATCTGATTCCTTTATATTTGAGTCATTGAAATAAACGTTGTACATGACTCAGCCAAACGAGAATGTCTATTTCGATGTCAGTTTTATGATAACGCTGTAGCTTTCAGTTAAAACAGGTTTCTCGTATATCTAAAATTAAAGGGAAGTCGAGGGAAAAAGGGTGAATTTGGTGATAGATTGATTTAAATGTTACATACAACTTTGAGAGGTGTTGAGTGTGCATGTTCAACACTTGAATCACTTGCTCTAATGGAAGCATACATTTAGCATGCAGGCTTATTTTGACCTCTGACCTCTACTTATAAGTGCATGTGCTACTCATAGGGCTAAATACTGTAGTTGTATGAGTACCACCTAAATTCAAGGTTTCAACCTAATTCTTTTCATTTATTTTGATGAAAACCTAAAAATCAGAAAAAAATTCAAATTTTTGAAAATTGTTTATTCAGTTAGCGTTTAAACATGTTCAGAAATATCAAAAAAAAGATCAAGTTGTGTTGAACCATGGATTGCTGACAATTTATTCAGGTGTCCCTCTCATAAAAATACTTTATTACTTGAATAAAAAAGTATTTTGTTCAAATATTCTTTAATGGTGCCTTTCATCAAAACCTTTTTTGCTTGTTTGTCATGCTCTTATGTTGGTTGGTGACTGTGATGGACTGTGTTTTTCCAAGAATGTTTTTTGTTTTGCCTAATGAATGTATTTGCTAAAACTAACATGTACAAAATCAAATGTGCTTGCTGTACATAAGTAAACAATGCCTAGACAGTTGGGATATTACATGTAAACATCACCTAGACAGCTAGAAATTTACCTGTAAACATTACATAGACAGCTGT